ACCTTAATCCACCTCTGCCTGTGACTCAGCATCAATCGTTATTGTCAGTCCCGGGGAGGGGGGGTTGCCCCCCGGGAAGGGGGCAGCCGGGGGAGCATCCCCTGGGAAAGGCCACTGCAGCTCCCCCTGAATTCCCCCTCCCTCAGCCCTGAACTTCCAGGAGCTGCTGCTCCCCCATGGCTGGGGAACCCCCCAGTGACACTGTCCCCGCTCCCCGGCCAGGTGAGTCCTAGGGCTCTGGGCAGACCCTGGCTCTGAGCATCCCATCAGGGTGCCGACCCCTCACCTGCTACCACCAGCTCCACAGAGCTGCTGGGGTATGATGAGACGAAGGGCTGTGATCGGTGCCGGTAGCTGCAGCTGTAGTTCCCTCCATGCTGCCAGTCCACGTTGCAGATCCGGAATTTGGCCACGTCCCCAGCAGGGTCCACGTGTCGCTGCAGGTTCAGGTCTCCAGCCTTGTGCAGGAAGAACCTCACATCCCGGCGCTGCCCCTGACACTGGATGGTGACGTCTGCCCCTAGGGCGGTGACCCCAGTGGGGCTTAGAGAGATGGAGGGGCTGGGTAAGCTGGGATCTGCACACAGGAGACAGGCTGTGAGAGCCAGACCCGGGCACCCACCCTGCCCTGGCCTTCAGCTGCAGAGGAGAAGAACGGGGGGGGGGGGGATTTGATAGCAGCCTTCAACTACATGCAGGGAGCTTCCAAAGAGGATGGAGCTGGGCTGTTCTCAGTGGTGGCAGATGACAGAACAAGGAAAAAACTATTTCACTAGGCAGGTGGTGAAGCACTGGAATGGGTTCCCTAGGGAGGTGGTGGAATCTCCATCCTTAGAGGTTTTTAAGGCCCAGCTTGGCAAAGCCCTGGCTGGGATGATTTAGTGGGGTTGGTCCTCCTTTGAGCAGGGGGTTGGACTAGAACTATCTGAGGTCTCTTCCAACCCTCATCTTCTATGATTTCCTGGCCGGCCCCAGGCACGGGCAGATCCAGGGGCCCCCTGGCAGAGATTCTCTCCCAGATCCCAGAGTCCTCCTGATCGAGAATCCCGGCCTGCGAACTGGTCTCCCAGCCCCACAGACATGGAGCCGCAGCTGCCTAGTTCTTGTGGTCCTCATATGCCCGTGTCTGTCCCTTACCTCATTCACTGCGTCCAGCCTGCCCTGGACACGCAGCGATTCACGGGCTGATCTCTGGTGCCCGGAACCACAGAGCCTGAGCCCCACACAGGAAGGGAGTCAGACCCCCAGGAGGCAGGGAGGTGTAATTATCCCCAATCTACAGGGGGGAAACTGAGGCACAGACAGATTCACTTTCCTTAGTGAGCTCCCGGGGCAGGGACTGTCTCTTCACTCTGTGTTTATGCAGCGCCTGGCCCAAAGAGGCCCTGATCATGGCAGGGGCCCTACATGCTCCCCCATCACAAGGGTGTGACATTGCACCCTATATGATTTTATGAAAATATGCTAATGAGTGTGAATATAATGTAACTGGAATATGCTTCATGCAAAAGGTCTCTTGTAAGGTATCATTACAAAGCTTATAATCTACTGAGTGTGGTCATCTTATTTGTATGTATGTATCATTCTTGTACCTGAAACTAGAAATATGAAATATAACTCTGAGGGCCTATTGTAATTATGCAAAGTGTTGGCCATTAATGGTGGTTTGGAATCTTGATGTCTCCCGTTAACCAGGACAATTGACTGTAGATGGCTCTGTTTTACTTGTAAGTCGTCCTGTAT